AAGGCATTTCTGAGTCATGCTAAGCCCAGAGGTTCCAGGGGCATGGAATCCAGCCTGCCCTGTCCCTCAGCCTCAGGCCCAGGCAGGTGCTGGCCTCGGCCCATCCAGGGACAGATGGCTCCCAATCCCCAGAGAGGGGCCACCCTGGCCCAACCAGCTGGTGAGCAGGGCCACCAAAGGGACGATGTTCATATAGCCAGGAAACAGCCTTCCAGGGTTCTGATGGGGACTTACCAGGCAGGATGGCTGTGGCCCAGGGGTCCTTGTCCCTGGGCAAATGTCTGACGTCAGCCTCACGTTCCAAACTGTAGACAACAACCCCCACAGGATTTGGGGAGGGAAAGGAGGGGAGAACCAGGGGCACTGCCATCCCCTGCCAGGACCTCCCCAATGGATGCAAAGCCTCCAAGTGCCCAGCCTAAGGTCCTGCCTCCCCTGGGGCGGGGACCTGGGAGTTCTGAGGATTTGGGGGCGGGGAAGGGCATTTGCATCCTCAGGAGATTCTGCCAGCCTCGCTGGCTCCCTGGAGAAATGAGCAGAGGGCTTGGCTTCGGGTGCCCTCTGGGCCTTGCATTCTTATCCGTGCGCTGGGCTCCGATGCCTCCTGACAGGGCTCAGCCTGGAGCCCGGGCTGTAGTTCTGAGGCCGGCAGGCAGGTGGCAGTGTGGGGCCAGCAGAAGCCTGTCCTGGGCGGGGCCTTCCTCCACCCAGGCACAAACTGACCCCACCTGGAATCCAGGGTGGATCAGGTCCTGTTGACCACATTAGCTACCAGGGATTGGCTGCTCATGCTGGTGCCATCAGGTGCCACTTCTCTAAGCTGTGATCAGACCAGAGTTATGTGGGGACAGGCCACAGGTCTCAGCCCACATGGTAATCCCCACCAGCCCCCTACCTCTGTGCCTCAGAGTTGGCACCACTTGGCACCTATGACTGTCTTCTCCAAGTGCCAGTGGCCCAGACGTTTGCAGGGTGCAGGGACAGAGAGCTCATGGAACCCGCAAATGGTCTACTCTGTCTCCCAGCTACAACCAGCCAGTCCTCAACCCCAAAGAGGTCATCCCACCCACATCTCGTTTAGCTTTCTTACTGCTCCATCTTTAAAATGAAGGCTAATGCTCCTCCCCGAACCCTACCTCCCTGGAAAACTCCTACACACACTTGAAAACCCAGCTGTGGCACTACCTCCTCTGAAAACACACTACCATCCCATCTTCTCTCTCCTCTCGGTCTCTATTAATGCAAAGCAAGCTGCCCATGTCTCAGGACAGAACCCCTGGAGGCAGAGCTCTGGTCTTTCCCCTCCTGACCCTGCTTGTGGTCCTGAACCTTCCTGGCATCTGTGTTGAGCTGAACTGACACTGTGAGGATCAGATTCCATAGAAAATTAGAAAATGTTTTGTAAAGGACGGTTGTTAGCAAATGTCACCATGTCTTAGGACACATTGAGGAGATGGTTAAAGGGCAGATTCCTGGGCCCACCTGGAGAGTAGATTCTCTAGATCCAGGATGGGGCCTGGGGAATCTGTGTCTTGACCAGTGGCCCAGGCATTTCTGATGTGGGTGGTTTGCAGCCCATGTCCTGTATCAGTGTCCCCCTCCCCAGTGAGTGACAGTTGCCCTTCTGGGGGCATCCCCAGGGCACCGCCTAGCATTTTGAGATCTTGCACATCTGGTGTGTGGGGGTAGGGGGAGGGTGAAGGACCTTTCACAAGCAGTACCCTAAGGCCAGGCAGCTGGGATCACTAGCATCCAATCTCTGTTTTGGGGGTGGAAATCCCCACAGGATGGGACACAATCCAGACAAAACTGTGGCACCTCCTTCTGGCTATCTCTAGGTCCACTGGGTTCCCGAAAGACAGACAAGCTGCTTCAGAGGAAAACCAGGGCATGCTTGGGGGCCTTACGAGCACTTGTCCCCCACCTCCTCCCCCCCTGGGTTGGGCTTCACTGATTCCTGCACTATGAGCAGGCAGGATGGGGGTCTGACTTCACCAGGAAAGGCAAAAACTATTTGCATGGTCAGACGGTCCCAGGAGGCCCACCAAGAGCAAAAGGAAGTCTCACTGGGCTCTCAGAGGCACGTGCATTACCTGGGTCCTCTGGGAAGCAGACGCTGAGATGGATGTGGGAGGGTAAAAGGTTTATTGGGGGTGACACCCATAAAAGATGGGAGAGGAACAGGACTGGGCAGGGAGAGCCTCAGGCGCCGTGCAGATCCAACAGTCTCAGCCAAACCAACCGGGGCCCCAGAGCACACACTGCTCCCAGGGGCATCTCCGGGGTCACTAGATACATTGCCGCCCCAATTATACACGTCAGAAAGTCCAACCCATTTTTCCTTCAAAGTGGTCAGAGATCAACGATGTGAACAGAAGTTAAGCTTGTGGAGCGGAATCTGCATGGCTTAAGGGGAGTGCAAAGAATACCCGCAGCGTGTGCGTGCGTGGAATCCCACCACTAAAGCAGGACTGAGGTCTGGGGCTGCTAAGGCTGTGTTTGTATCCTGCTCATCCACACAGCAGAGGCCTCAAGATTCGTCCTCATGTTAATGTAAACTGTTCTTGACTTGGGCTCTCCTGGCTTTCACTACCCCCTTCCCTGGTTAGGGCTCACCCTCTGTCAAGGCAGGTGGCTGGTCAGGAGTGCCAGAGATCTTGGGTTCACATCCAGTCTCTGCCTTGTACTAGCTGTGTGACTTTGGGCAAGTTGCTTAACCTCTCTGTGTGTTGTTTCTCTATAAAATGGAGATTCAGCAGTACCCATCTCCATGGGTAGGGATGAAGTGAAATCAAATGAACTATTTAATGCAGTGCCTGAGCATAGTCAGTCGGCAAAGTGAATGCCCTGAGCTCACTAGCACAGCTGTCTCTGTTGTTAGTTTGTGCACTGCCAGGCTAGGGTTTGCACTCCTGTGACCACTCCCTTGGAGGGTCTGTCCCCAGCAAAATGCTTCTATATCAAAAGGCACCCCCTTGTCCCCTGCCCCCACCAACTCCAGAGCCCTGGAGCTAATTCCAGTCTGATTTTCTGACTTATCAAGGACATTGTCCTGTGGCACCCAGTGTCTCCTTTGATGCACTCACAACCCGGGTCCCCTCAGGCCCCTCCAAGGACCAGATGAGGAGAAATCAGCCACAAGGTGCATCCTGGCTGCCTGCTCTGCAGACCTGGGACTGTTCTGAGGGAACCAGATGGGCTGCAAGGGTCTGTTGGTGCTGAGAGCAAGATGCACATGCATGGCATCGGGATGCAGACTCCCAGGCCCCTCCAAGGACCCACCCCCCAGGCCCAAGTCCCTGGGTGGGGCCTGAGCCTCTGCATTTGTTAGCTAGCTCTTGGGTGAGGGTGGGGGTTAAGTTCCTCCTTGTCCCCTAGGGAGCCAGCTCTGGGTAGGAAGAAAAGCGGTGGCCACAGAGTACCATAGGCCTGTGAACACCAGGTTTCCCCCTGCAGTGGGATCTGAGGGTCTTAAAACAGAAAAGGAAGTCCCTTTGGGCTTGCACAGTTTATTAAGATAATCAATTCTTAAGTTATTTCTTTGTTAATCAGAAAGCATCTCTGGAGAGAAAATGCACTATCTGTGTAGATATACAAAAATAGATCAGTCATTCTGCCTCTCCTGGACATGAGCTCCAGGTAGCCCGTCCTCATATCCCTGGAGGGAGCAAAAGCCCAGAGAGCCTTTCCCTGGCGGTTACCAAGGGAGTGGCAGGGGCAGCCCCCAACGGCTGGGTGCACTTGGGTCTGAGAGGGAAGAAGGCTCAAAGGGGCATCTCCATGGCCACAGCGGGGCTTCCGGGATGTTCGTGCAGCGGCTCAGGCAACCAACAGAAGCACCAGGCTGTGGTCACCCCCGGATCCAGCACGTCCTGGCTTGTCCCAGGGAGCCCAGAGCCCTGTCTCCATCTCAATTGTCTTCCTCCCCTGATATCACATATGCAAGGTGAACCTGCAGCATTAAGGAATAATAACACGTTGTCGTAGAATTGATCACATGTAGGAACCGGAGTCCTGAGGGAGGGCAGCCTGGCCTCTACAGTCTCTCTTTAAGGAGAGAGCTGAGCTCAGAGCCCCCTTGAGTCCAGACATGGCCTCACACCTGAGCTCAGAGGCCCTTTGAGTCCAGACTTGGCCAGGTGACAGCAACATTTCCGAGCTTCAACGCCTTCCATGGCAGCTGGCACCAAGGTTTTGACGTTCAAGTGTTCTAGTCCTGAAGGTCTTGTGAGGACAGGTATCAGCAGGGAACCCTGCAGTGAGGCTCTGGACACTGAGCCCAAAGGCCTCCACCTCCACGGGCTATGTCCTGAATCTTCCACACTGGAGGCCACAGGATACTGGACAGCTATGGTGCAAAGTACTTTCCAGATGGTCCCCCCTGCCACCCCTAGTCTAACCAACATCAGGCTTGGCATCCAAATCCAGCCTTTGCCCAACCTCCCGGCTCAGTGTGCACCCGAAGTGGCTCAGCCACGGCACTTGCTGCATCCAGCACGCTGGACACTGGGCCTCTCCCAGCCAGCTGCACACATTTGAAAGGCCCATTTTGGAGAGACCCCTCTCCAGGAGCAGGGTGTGTCTAGATAGGACTCTTCTTCCATCGCACGCAGACTTGGAGCCGGCCACAGCCCTGGACACGTGGAGTGGCAGGGGTCTCAAGGAGCTGAGGTACCCCCACCCCAGGCAAGGCTGGGATCCTCTGTCCCTCCAGCACTGGAGCTGTTCCAGCTTTAAGGGCACACCACAGGCTCATTCTTCCCTCCCTCCCCCTTGAGGCGGCCACCACCGAATGGTGCATGCCCAGCCTGCCTCGCCGGTTTGAGTGCTAATAAAATAGATGCATTTACTGAGTCTTCTGCACTGGAACAAGGTCACAGACAGCCCAGCCTGTGGGCCAGGGAGGGCAGCCAGGAGCAGCCTCCTCGTTCCACGCTGGTCCCTGGCCCTGCGGCCTCCCCACCTCCCTCCCGCCCAGGCTCCAGGCCAAGCCCATCGAGTCTGTCCTCCTGGCTCCTCCCCGGGGCTCCTGGCCTGACCACAGCCCAGGTGCCAGCCCCAGCCCCGTTAGAGTGCTGCAGGGCCCAGGAGGCCGAGGCCAGGGTCCTGGCAAAGCTGCAGCTGCACACTGGAGGTGAACCAGCGGCTGGGCCGGCCCAAGCTGCAGTGCAGGGTGGTCCGGAAGGTGTTCCTGGCGTGCTTGGGGAAGATGATGGTCGTGCTGCAGAAGTGCAGGGCCCGCGGGCGCGGCTCCAGGGTCAGCTGGCTGCGGTAGCTGCGCCACGTACAGTTGGGCGCGGCCACGATCGTCTCACTGTAGGCTGTGACTGTAGGCACGGGCACGTAGAAGACCTTGTCCCGGAAGTGCTTCTCTGAGGCATACTTGACCTCAGAGTTGCAGCTGGGGAGGGCAGAGGGAAGCAGAGTAGGCTCAGGGTGGGGGCAGCCTGGTCCCTCACCCTCACCACGAATGTGAGAAGGGCCCTCTGCAGACATTCCTAAACATCACGGGCCTGGGCTCCCTCAAAATGTCATGGTCAAGGAGGTCAAAGAAAGGCTGAGGGGCTGTTCCAGTTTAGAGGAGACGAAAGAGAAGAGACAACTAAAAATAACACGTGACCCTGGGTGAGTCTTGAGTTGGGGGGGAAATATGCCATAAAAGGATATTATTGGGATAGTGGATGAAGTATAAATACGAAGTGTGGATGAGACGGGGGTGTTGCAACATGGATTTCCCAATTGTGACAGCTATACTGGTGTCAGGGAAGAGCACGTCCCTGTCCTTAGGAAATATGGAGAAGTATGTAACGGTTAAAGGGCAGGATGTCACCAATCTACTCTAAGCGTTTGAGACGAAAGAGAAGAGACAACTAAAAATAACACGTGACCCTGGGTGAGTCTTGAGTTGGGGAGGAAATATGCCATAAAAGGATATTATTGGGATAGTGGATGAAGTATAAATACGAAGTGTGGATGAGACGGGGGTGTCGCAACATGGATTTCCCAATTGTGACAGCTGTACTGGTGTCAGGGAAGAGCACGTCCCTGTCCTTAGGAAATATGGAGAAGTATGTAACGGTTAAAGGGCAGGATGTCACCAATCTACTCTAAGCGTTCAGAAAAAAGTTCCTACCCATATGAAGAGAGAGCACGTGTGAATGCTCGAAAAATGGGGCAAAATGTAAGCAGTTAAAGGGCAGGATGTCACCAATCTACTCTAAGCGTTCAGAAAAAAGTTCCTACCCATATGAAGAGAGAGCACGTGTGAATGCTCGAAAAATGGGGCAAAATGTAAGCAGCGAGTGCATCTGCTCGAGGGCACACAAGGGCGGCTTATACCTTCCTGCAACTCTTCGATAAGTTTGAAATTATCAAAGTAGGCATCCCAAAAAGTCCCCTCAATGCCCCTAGATGAGTGACCCCTCCCTAAGGTGACTGACCAGTCTCCCCCCAGTTCCACTTCCTGAGCTTTGGGAAACCAAACTAGAAGCAGGAGTTCCAGGAGGGGGGGAACCTGACCCATCTCATTTCCCACCTGGTTCCCTGCCATGTCCCAACAGATGATCAATAAATCCTTGTGATGGGAATCAGAGCTCCCAAGAGTCAAGGCATCCTTCATGCCCCAGGCTGGGGCTTCTGATCACCTAATTGTGGTCTGCATTTAAAAAACTAAGAACGAGGGTTGTGCAGTGAGAAAAAACTTGTAAGTGGACCCGCTTGTCTCCTGGGACCAGGTCGAGCTGGCGGGGGCAGAAGGCAGTGAGTGTCACTCACTTGGCTGTTCCAGCTCAACACAGACAAATCAATCCAGAGAGCCCATGGATATTCAGGTGAGACCCACAGACCCGAGACCACCTTTGGGGAGCCTGAGCCCCAGCCGCCCCCAGAGGAGGGCCAATCGATACAGGGAGGTTCCCAGAGGGGCCACCTTCACTCAGAAATCCAGACTCCACCTAAGATGTCGTGTGTGTGGGAGGGCGCCTGACGTACTGAACAGTGCAGCGACCATGGTGGCATGAAGGGCCTAGGTTACAGTCACAAGAACACAGAGCAACTCAGTGTTCCTCAACCCTTGTGGGAACGCCGTGTGGACGAGGGTCCCCAGTTGCCTGTATGGTTTGGTTGTGGACACCTAAAAATCCGGCAGGACCAGAAGGGAGGGTGCGCAAGTGGTTATGTTGATCATTTTCCAAACTTCCTGGGAGGTTGGATTTAAGATAAAAATCAATGAGATTGTGGGAGAAAGTAAACAGGGACTACGCCTGGGGTGAAAGTGGGGGTGGATACAGAAGGTCCCCTGGGGTCAGAGTCTCTTAAAATCAGTTTTACCCCTGGCTAAGTCATGGCCACCCCTGCACAGGAAGCAGTGCCCAGAGGGTGGGGAGGCCACTGAGCCCCCCAGCCTGGCTAGCCCCAAGCCCTACCCTACAGGGAGTCAGGACCAGCGCCCGCCCCACCCCCACCAAGCCAGCAGCCCACTCACCGGATTTCATGTGTAGGTTCTGGGTTCACCTTGATGCTCTCCCCAAAGAACACTGGCAGCATCCGGGGCCTCATCTCAGGAGCCAGGGGGGACTGAAGGAGGGAAAGAGGCTGTGGGGAGAGCCACGGACATGGAGTTATCAGCCCTTTGGCACTGTGGCCTCAGCTCGCTTCTGGGCACATCAGGACCACCTGACAGCCTTCCAGCCCTGGCTTGGTTTAGAAGCCTGCTCTGTAGGGTCCATCAGGAAGCCTGCCCCAGCACCCCTCTGTGGAATCCAGGCAATCGGGCACCTGCCCAGCACACCCACCTGGACCCACCCACAGCTCCCCACCCACCAGCCGCCCCCAGTTCCCAGACATCTCAATAAGGGGAAGTGGTAATGGCCTCTGTCCACAAGCCCAGGCCACACCAAGCCCCTAGAGCCAGGCTGAGAGCCCTGTAGAACTGGGTCTCCTCTTTCATCTTCTGTGAGGGGCTGAACAGCATGCTCATCCTTGAGAAAGTGTGTCCAAGGGCAGGCCCGTGGCTTACTTGGAGAGCGTGGTGCTGACAGCACCAAGTCAAGGGTTAAGATCCCCTTACCGGTCATCTTTAAAAAAAAAAAAAAAAAAAAAAAA